TCGGATAGAAGCATTGGAGCCACCATTTATTAAAAATTGGGTCGATTCTTGACTACAGGAGAGCTTGTTTCAGACTTCCTAGATGTCTAATTTTTCAGGGCTAAACCCTATCCATTTGTTGAGCGAACAGAAAAATCCATTACACAATTGAATAACTGGTTTGCTGTTCCTGCATTTAATTGAGAAATTTGATTGCACAAGATGAATGTTACTTTTAGCACGGGGATCCAAATTACTAATGCACCAGGAGAGCTGAAATGCAGATCTTCTCCATGTGTACGGTGAGGCAGAGAGATCCAAGAGGGGGGTCTTTGAGAGAGAAGAGTGCGTGAGGATGTTTCTTAAACATTTCTCGTCTATCTCAGCTCCTCGGCAATAAGCCCAGTTATTTCATACTTCAGGAATGCGATTGCCTTGATGAATCAGGGAATGAAAAACACACGCAGGACGAGGAGGAAGGAATAGGTGGGCGGATGGGAAGAGAGATGATGTATTCACATTAAGGACATTAACTCCATAAGTAGCTCTCAGTCTCATCTACTGAGAGCTGCTTCAGGGGCATGGCGTTGGTCAGCCACAAATAGAAACCAGATCAGATGCAGAGAAGCAAAAATACAAAATAGAACCATTACTGTCATCTAAAAATAAAATAAAAAAAAGATCTGGGTAAATATTGGACCACAGGGCCCGGTTTCTGAACATCAGACAACCCTCCGGAATCGTGGAGTGTTTGGTGTGGACAGCTTTATGTGGGAAAAGAGAAACTATAAAAACGTTGTCTCATTCACCGCTATTTCCTACCCTTGCAGTGCTTCCAACACATTCAGAAAGTCCCTTTAAAAATAGGACATGTCTGAAGGGGGCTAAAAGCACGAGGCAGTCATGATCGTACCTGGCTAGGCTCTATTCATGAGTTTTATAAACACACACCAGGAGCAGCCTCCCGTCTCCCCTGCTGCCCGCACACAGAGGACACATTCATCCCAGAGTGGGCACCATAAGGAGGCTGGAGGGGGCGACAGACACTTCAACTTAAAGGAATTTTTCAGCCACTCTGGCTATCACTCGTGTGTTGAAGGCAGAGACACAAACACAATCTGTGCTCGTCTCAGTCTACATGTGCAGATCAGATAAAACAGAGTTAGTTGTGACATGATGAACGGTGAGTTAATGAGCCAGATCCTTGGCCGGATAAGAGCATTCCTCGCACAAACTAGGAAGGATCTTTTCAGGGCTTTTTCTTCTCACTCTACAGCCGAGGTTATGAACTTTAAAAAAGGCTTTAGACAATGTGGGGGGGCGTTTGCGTCATGTTGATTTGTCTTTTCCTGGCTCTTCTCTTTTGGGATAACACTCAGGCAGAAGCACTCTCGTCTGCACCCCTCTGCATATGAATAGCGCCCATGAAAGCATGCATCCATGGGGCGCAGAGAGGCAGAGTAGAGTTATGAATATGATAATCAGAAATGGCGTATCCAATGTGTTGTGTGAGGATTGACACTATACTCCTGGGAATACATAATGACATGGCAGGGCTGCCTTCTATGATATATGGAAAACTACCCTTCCAATGCTCCAAGATATACATTTAACTACTGGGAAACTATTGTAATATGTAAACAGACATAGTATTGGTACTATATATATATATATTTGCAAGTTCCTAGTTTAGTCCTATGGGTGAAATAAATATGGGTGAAAATACTTTCCTCCAAACTGGGGTCAATGGGGGGAGGGGAGCCCCATTCCTCCATTGACCACAAACAAAATGTTCAAACTCTTTAGACTACTATTAATAGTAAGAGTTTTTCTGAATAAATTAATGAGAAAAGCAGCTGTCACTCTTACTTTCTCTATGTGTAGTAATTGTATGTTATATTTCACACATTTTAGGCAGTATTAACTAACTTAAACCAGCCACAGCAAACCCTTAAGAAAAGCATGGGGGTCAATGTCGGGGTCCGCTACAATAGGTGTCTGTATTTCCAACGTTTTTACTTGTTTAACAGCCTCTGAATGAAGAGGAGAAATATAAACGTATGCATACAGCCGTCTTGAAATACTACAGCGTGTTACTAACCTTGGAGGAAGATAATACCGACGGCATACATCGTATCCATCGGTGGGTTCCTCCTGGTAATCACCGCGGGGTTCCTCCTGCCTTTCCTCCTCCTGGGCTCGCTCTCTCCGGGTAGATCCATGACTGTCCTGGTGCTCGGCGGGTCCCCGGTGCGGTTCTCCGGCTGCTACGGGAGAGAGCCGTAGGGCTAAATGGGAACGGCAAAAACGCTCCGTGCGTCACCGTGTGCGTACAGGTAAACTAACCCGTGTTACCTGCGCAGGTCCCCGGGGGAGCCGGACGGCCTGTTCACCTGGTTGTTTTTGGAAACTAGCAGGAACAAGGCAGAAACATGTGCGGACCGACGCTTCGGTTTACAGGCCGGCCAGACTAACGACTTAACGAGTTCAGACTGAGAAGCCCCGCCGAAAGTTTCAAGCGAAGTTTAAAACTTCCAGGTAGCTCGCGGGACAGAGGGTTGGTGTTAATTTAGTCCGCAGTGGTACATTACAACCCGGTGTTTGTTGCTGCCGTGTGCCTGCGTCCAGAGCCGCCGACCGCTGGGACAGTTCAGTCCGCAACAAGAGGGAGTTTAGGTCCGCGGTGTTTCCAAGTTGGCTTCCTCCCACTCGCCTGTGTGATGTTTTACAACTGCGTCAAGCGAGCCGAGACAATGCATACGACTTCCTGTTAGGACTTTCAAAATAAATGTTATTTTAAACTGGTAGCAACCGTACTTTCTGAAAAAATAACTTGTATTACTTTCATCATAATTAAATTGGTTAAGTTTGTTTTCACTTTTGTGCTGTGTAAAGAGAATGTTGAAACGTTCATTTGCGTCTTTTTACCATATTTGAGCATAATGCAATTTTCATTGCCTACTTGATTTTGCACATTGGTTGTGTAGGCTATATATATTGTTTCTCAAATTGTTATTAACATTGCTATTGATATGTTTTTCAATTATGTTTTGGTGTTGTATCAGTTGAGCTCTTTTTAGTGAAGCAGTATAGACACAAATCCCAAACGTAAATGTAATTTTATTTTTTAAATCAAAATGTTCGGTATCAAGCAATGATTCTAATGTTGCTTTTACGTGTATTCTCTCTTTTCCGATAGTGCCGCTTCCGGTGCCCGTACCCGACCTGGATAAGGTATACAACAGTGCAACCCCCTGGTTCAATCTGTAAACGTCAATGTGCAGAACCTTGTTTAACTCATACACGCCTTAATTGGTATAGCATGCATATATCGCCAGTGGAGTAAATGTTTTTGGAAAATAATTCAATTTAGTTGCCATTTCAAAATAGAATTGCCCATTTTGACAGTTATGAAAAAAGAACAATTGTCAATTCACAGTGGGTATAACTATCTCTTTTATGCTATTAGAATCAGATGTTGTTAAAGTGAAATCATGTATCTTCTATTCTTGCTTTATAGCTACTCTATTAATCTCAGCAAAGCAGCACATTGTGTACATGTATCAGTTCAACGTGTAATACATGGCACAAACCCAGTGAGTCCCCATGCCCACTGTCACCTTGAGGGGACGGCCCTGCTGTCACCGTGGTAGAACAGTGTGTGGGCCCTGCTGCTGGTCCAGCTGGCACATAGATGTCTGGTAGAAACATGCAACTGGACTGAAGGCTTTAGGAATGAGCTGTACAATCGAAAGAAGAAAACATTATTACTTTCATTCGAAAATGAACTCTGCATGACAGCTCTCTGTAGAACGAAACCATCCTTCGGTCGGTAAATTCAAAGTGATGAATAGTGGAAGCTCCACATTAAAGTACTGACAAAGTGAGAGATTACCAGAGAGCCGAGAAACCCCGGGCTGACCTCCACAAAGAGGAGGGAAAACTCTACCCGTGATATATCACAACTTGGCAAGGCATCAGGGTACACTCATTCAAACACTGACATTTAAGGACTACCTTCATGGAATTTGTGGGGGGTTTTCTGCTTCTTTTCTGAGTGTTATATAGGTGTATGTATGTTACTGGTCTGTAAAGCCTAAAATCCAAACGTTTCTCTACCCACACTCCTGCATGAATTGCCTCGATTGGACTCCTTTGTTTACTTCGGTAACATAATGACATCCCATATGTAAAAGTTGCGCTTCTATTGGCTGCTACCAATAGATTGGCTACTATTGGCTAGCGCTGCAACACACTAGAAAGATGATAGGCTGGACATCGCTTAGTGGTTCCCCAATCAAAACATAGCCGGCCAGCTAACCGATCAGAGCAGACTGGGCTCTGGTTTCAGACAGAGGGTGAAAAGACAGGCAGTATGAGAAAAATAAAGAGCTTTTTGAACATTAAGGCAAGTAAACATGTCACAGTAGAGGCACAAAACACAAATATGAAACCTGAAAACAAGCATAATATAGGGCCCGCTTTAAACCAATTACTTTTTACAAATTCCCCCCAGAAATAAGAATGAACGACATAAAATAGAACATTGTTGGTTTAATTTTCATGATCAGAGTGGTTCCAATTTTCCATCAGACTATTCATGACATATGAGACACACATTCAACTCTTACCAACAATGACACTGATTTGCTGATGAATTCTATGATTTGTGATCAGATTCTAACACGTTGATTACAAATAATAAAAAGAAAAAACATTTATCAAAACAATTATAATTACAAGGCATTCCAGTTTTCTTGTGCTTCACTAAAAAATGAAATCATAGTCAGAAGAAACCGATCTGAGAATTGTGCAAAAACCTATAATTATCACATTACTAGAAATGTATCACACATTCTAATCAATGTGAACAACATTATAAGAGGATGTGCTCACAGCTAGCAGCTCTAATCTGTATGGCACCGGAGATCATTCAGGATGACCATTATTCATTAAGAAACCTGGTTCATCCTCGTAATTTTTTTATATACAATTTAAAAATCTGAGCATTTTCATTGTTGTATTTTACAAACCATAAATGCCTCAAATACATTTTCTCTGCAATGCAGAAAAACACACTTGGAGATAAAAGCAGCATCAATTTCTATTTTTCCCCCAAACTTTGTATAAAGTTACCCTAAACAAGTCACATGACTCAACTCATGTCAGTAAGATAAACAAGTCACCCTGTTTCCCAAAGCTTTAACCAACACCTCGCATTGCAAAGAAATCTCAATAGGCAAAATCATTAAAATGAAAATAAAATGATTTTTTGTCATAATATTACATTATATAATTTCATAGCCACCAGGCCTATTTATTATAACTAGTTTGTGAGAAAATAGAAATGTACAACCTATTTCTTTTCTAATTTAGACCTAGAGATGGCACAGGAAGACAATCAAGGATCTCAAGTCACACAACATTGGGAGACATTTACAGGAGAAGGAGACAATATGGCAACGTTTGCAGTCAAAGTGCAGAGTCACAGATGATGAATAAGGGGAGAGATGAGGTACATTTTCTCGGCCATATCTAGGAGGCACTGAGGCATCACCATTGCTAGGAACACGATGAGGGGAAAATACATCAATCTGTCTCTGGAAGACCAAAAGGAAACAACCTGGTTTAAAAACAAACTGGAAAGAAAACCCACCAAATGTGTTTGTTAATGTGTTGATGACCGAACATGTCTTTGGGTCTTAACTCAGGAGGATGTGGGTCTTGGGGTCTGATGCTAACAAGCAGAGGAAGGCAGTGTGATGGAGTCTGTCTGGTAGTGTTGTTGTGATCATTAACGAGCCAAAGGTCAGAGCCTCTCTGGATCGGGAACAGATCAGCTGATCAGACTCCTGCTGCTCAGTTTCCAGTGTAGAGATCCACAGTGCTGGAGCTCAGGCCCCGGCTCTCCTTCAAATTACGAACTCCCCGAGTCTGATAGTGAAACAGAAGGAGAAAAATCAGAGAAGACACAGGAGGAGACAACATGAAAGATAGGACATAACAATTTTAATGATATAGCAAGTTACAATAAGCAACATTTCCGCATTAAAAGCACTAAAAACGAGAAAACCCATGTTATTTATTTTACTGAATCGTGTAACATCATTATTTTTCCCAAAAATGTAAAACCTAGAAAACCCTGTCATTTGAATCAAGGTAACAGTTGTTTTTTTTGGTTGGAGCTCTCATAAGTGGATTTGTATCCAGTTTGAAGCCACACTTTTAAAATCTTGTTTTTAGCTATATATCTGAACCGGGTGAAGGAGTCATCATCGGGCACCTGGATCTTATGTTATCAGAGAAAAAAGCTGAGCAAAATAAAGGCTCTCTGCCCCCTTTGTGTTGGTTTTTTTGTTATGGTGAAGCTTTATTTATTGTTTTTACTGGTTTATATAACTGGCTCTGTTTGGAGAGGATACCGCTGCTGTAAGAATCTCCTGGACAAAAAACACCTATCGAATCCGACCTCACTGAAAATGGGGGTAAAGACAACAACTCCCATGATCCTACACAGCTTCCCCCTCCATCTTTTGTTGTGTTGATTGAGAGACCTCTCGTGGTAGAAGACGGCAACCTGTGTTTAAGAGAGTGTAAAACTGTTTCTCACCTGGAACGGGTCATCACTGGTTTTGTTCAGGTAATTCAAGGAAGCAGCGCGCTTCATGCTGTTGAACAAACATTAAAAAAATAATGTTAATACTGTATCCTGGGTTCAAGTGCAAAATAAGTATCCACATGGAGCTTGAACTACTGCCTCAAAACAGCATTGCTTATTACTGTCTGCTACCCATCGTTACAGAGAAATCCTGTATTCTTACTTGGTGCTGCGAGGCTCAGGCGGCCCGTTGCCCTGCAGTTTCTTCACCAGCAGCTCGCTGCTGCGCCGCAGGACATCCCGGAGCTTCCCCAGGGAGCCGCTGCGCTGAAGAGCCCCGCTGCCGTCCTACAGACACACACAAGCATCAGCACAAGCATTCTGCACTGAAGAGACAAGAACTCACATCTGCAAATCATTATCCTTTTACTGGATGTAGGCCAGTCCTGTTGTGAATGGCTAGTAGCAGCAGCCAAAAAGCGTGGAGTCTCACAAAAAGGGGTTTACACATGTCATGAATTATATTATTTTAAGAGCAATTCATTAGGTGATGAAATATGTTGCTGAACCGTCTGCATTGTTAACGATTTCAGGCAATGCTAGCATCTTTTCACTTTCTGATAACTTACATTCAACATGACCTAATTGTACTGAATCATTGAGTAAATGTTCTTCTCAAATGGTACACCATTAGAACAAACTGTCGTCACTTCAGTTGGAGTACTGAACTCATTGTGCTCCAGTAAGTGTGCTGTGTCATTTTCCTTCATTCTGGTAAATTCATCTTCTTTTTTAAGAAACAATGCCAAAATAGCATTGTTTAAGAGTTTTTATTCGGTAATATTTGTTAATTTCTTTGTCTTTCATGATGGCAAGAATATCTTTGGGTTCAGGTTCATTGATCAACTTGGCCTGCTGGATTTGTCACTTTATTCTGATTGTTTTATGAACAAGTCAACCAGCAGATTAAAAGTTAATGAAAATATAAAGCTCAACGTTTCTTCTTCCATAAATCCATTCATTTTGGAATTATAATGCTACCTATTAGCTGTCCTGCATAGTGTGTGTTTATTCACTAACTGACCAGTAAACACTGTTAGTGTAACACCCTCTAGCTTTGGTGGAATGCATTCAAAACAATGTATTAACTTTGATTGTATTTTAATAATCATGATGCAATCAGGCATATCACCAGCAGAGGGCATTGTGGGTAAACCAGAGGATGTATACAGGTATTGGACATTTCTGTTCCACTGAGCAGAGACTCAACACAATGATCGGTTTCCACTGATCGCGCAATACCACAGTATTCTCGGTCCGATGCAGAGAAAAAGACAAAACTCCACAAATGAAAAACTTTTATTTGAGAATACCAACAAGTGTTGATGCAATAATCTTCACAATGCAGAATGGTAAATATAATGCAGTCCTACTTATACTAAGATAGTGCTTATAGACCTTACCATTAATGTAATTCCTCTTTGGGAAACTGAAGTCACACTATATATATATATGTCGAGAATAGACAGTTCAATAAATAAGCATTCCACTAACACAACAATATTGTCATAATTATGTGATGTACATAGTCAATTCCTTTTGTTCAGTTGCATTACAAGTAAAGGTGTACTCATTGGAAGGAATGAAGAATCAGGTAGCATACCGAAAAGCCGTATAATGAATACACAGATCTAGAAATACAGCCTACACTTTTTAAAGAAGTCGTTTTACATTCAGTTAGTTAAACATCTGAAATAACAATATGTTGATCTTGAGGAAACACTCGCACTGCACTTTTTTTTCGGTTGTCTAAAAACATCATTCACCAGAGTGACAATGTTTACTTTGCAAACGACTGTGTAATAAAAACAAAAAGGCAACACACTCCATTAAGCTTTGTGTTCAAAATAGCCAGAGTGGACTGTACCACCAACACATACACCAATACACACTAAACTACTGTGGAATCCAAAGCTTCTAATACTGCACCGACAAATGAAAAGGCAATTCTGGCCATTATCTTTGATTTACTAATATTAAGCAATCTCTCAGGTGGCCAGTGTCCGTTGGTCTCTAGCATCGTATTAGCTTTACAACAGTCGCTAACATTGCTAATTCCCTTTGTAAATGTGAGCTACTGTGTATATATTGTTCAAGCGTAGAGCCTGCATCAATACTCAATCAAACCAAGGACACCAGAGAGAGCGAATTGAACATGAATTGCCATGGCAACAGCTTGCTGTGATCTGACAATTTGCTTTCGACTGATTTCGGGCCTTCTGGTCTTTTTCACACTGTGGCACAAACTACTGCCTTAATATTCAGCCACAAAAGAATCAACACTTTAAAAAAATGTAAACAAAATGATACAAATTAAAAAGGAAATAAATCTATAAAAAAAACAAAATGGCAATGCTCCCTTCTCATTTCAGATGTTAAAAAGAAATTAGATATTTGGATTAGCATGTGAAACTATACAGTACCATTTATTTCTCAGCTGCTTAAGCGTTTGATCTCATTATTGGGAAGAACTAAAAACTCACCAACGACTAAAAAAAAACTTTAAAAACTGAATAAAATAAGGGCTAAATACAGGCAACAGGTTGGAAGCTAGCTTTGAGGTCACCTTTCATTTGTTGTTAAGCAGATTGAGATCAATGCACAGCAGTTTTGATTTACATTGACTATTAACCGTTACTTCTGTGATTTCTCTAGTCAAAACCTCCTCAAATCATCTTTTGCCTTCTTCCAATAAATAACCTTCCTGCTCCCCTTATCCAGCCAAATACATCTACTATGTAGCTAGGAAAAATTACAAATGTGTGTTGGAGAGAGGAAAAAAATGTGCGAGTGGCTTCCTCACAGGGAAAGAGATTTCACACACAATGATTTGTTTACGTTACAGAGAGAGAAGACAAGCCTTTTGACACAGGGTTAGTGAGAGGAAAAGGATCGAGAGTGAAAGGAAGAGAGAGAGCCGAGATGAGAAGACCAAAACGTCCCAGCAGGGTGGGGGGGCAGAGATGACAGCCGCGAGAGGGTGGGGGGGGTGCTTTCTGTGTCTCTGCTGGCACCGGGAGGGGCAGAGGAGCTGTTGCTTTGTTGGGACAGAGGAGGCCAGAGGGAACGACAACACACTTCCTTTTTGCTATTGTGTTGGGGAAGGAGAGAAGGATGGAGGAATAATCTTGATGGCTTAGGCCTGATAAGAGAGAAAGAGAGAGAAACAGACAAAAAAAAACAACGCACACATTGTGAGATTAAGAGATCAGGGTCGGGCTGCCTACGCTACACACCTACACAAATCTGAGCTTCATGCCTTTTCTACACCCAACATCTATCAGTTTGACTAATTGCATGTGTCTTTACTTCCTGTAACTTTACCTTCACACCCTGTTTAACAGATTTGTCATTCTTAAGTTAGTTATGTCACTTTTCAACGTTTAGCTTTGTACATATTGTTAATAGTATTTAATGCTTGCTCTGGGGTTCCTTATCATTTTCCCATTGACCTCAGTGTCCATAAAAAGCGCTGTTAGCCTAAATTGAAGAAAAGCACCCTAGAGTTTATGAGGAGAGCGGTCTGCTTTATAAAGTTAGCCACGTCCTTCCTCTGAGAGCTTTCACCCATCCCAGCAGATGTTGAGCTTCGGGAAAAGTGGAAGGTAAACATTTCAAGAGCCGTAGACATTTTCACCAAAACATTGTTGTTACACTAAAGGACTAGCTAATGTAGCTAACAGTTATTGAATACACTGAGGTGATTATGAAAATGATCCAAAAACACTATATACAAAACAAATGATACAACAATAATATGTACAAAGCTAACTGTGTAAATTGAAGTAACCTAATAAGGATGAAAAAGCACTTTTGTAGAACGGTCTATCCTGCCCCAACTGTTCTGTATTAACTCCAGCTTGGGGTTTGATTACTTTTTCTAGCAAAATCAGGGATCCTATGCAACCAAGGATGTGAAAATCCACCTCTGTGAGACACTACAGCTCTCTGAGGATCTGCACTACAGGGTGGGTCAGTGATGCAGTGGGTTGGTGTTTGCAGTCATGGTGACTCAGCTGTTTCTCTCCTCTCTCTGGGTACCACTAAAGCCTTGGCACACTGCAGACAGCCAGTGACTGTGCACTGCAGACAGGACATCTGCAAGCATCAGCAGAGAGGGGCATGCTGGTATTACACTGATCTCAAGAGGGAAATTATATTCTAGATAACATCTTTGCCCTTTATTGGAAAAAAGAACCTAAAATTGAGTGCTTTATCTGATGAAATATCTAAAATCCTGCACTTGTTTCGACCGGTCCACTGTTCCCTATCCTTTAACATTAATCATCTATCCTAATAACTATGACACTACATACCGAACCCGCCCTAGGAATGAGAGTTCAAGAGGGAGAGTACAATCCACTGAGTGAGAAACAGGACATTTGATTGACAGGCTGATTGGTTGTCATGGCAAGAGTTATCAACAAGGTAGTAGGTTAGTGAGTGACACGTAGAAACAGAAAAAAGGAGAAAAGAGGAAATCATGCAAACAGACAGGCAGCACATTGAAGCATCTAGCAGAGAGCGCAAAGCAGACACAAATATACACCAAGTCATGCAGGAAGAGACACGCACATACTTCAGATATTACCGATTAACCTGAGCATCTCCTCAGTTATGCCCCCACTTGTTCGACACAAACTATGTGAGCTCTATGTAGAGTTTATAGCTGTCAGGTGAAACACTTCTATAGCCTCAGTGAGTTCCAGAGTGAAGACATGTTTGGGCAAAGCTCTGAGTGATAGTTCTGACGGGCCTATCACATCGTCTCTATCTACACACACACACACACAGACAGGACTTTACAAGCCTATTTTCTAAAACACAAGTTGTAGTGACGTATGTTTGCAGCTTTGTAAATGAATGGATGGATGGATGGAGTTTGTTAAGCAGTCGTTGAGTTAAAAAAGCTCATGTTTCGTGACACATTTTAGACAATCTTTAACAAGCAGGAGTTTATTTCGCTGTTTGGACTGTGTGCCTTTCTACTGCTGTGGTTGTGACATGAATAATGAAATGCTAGTACAAACCGAACATGCCATCACGTTTTCCAAAAAATAAAGGTGCACGCTTGGAAATGTGCATGCCGTTGCTGGAGTGAAGCAGTTTTGAGTAGCTGTGTGCGTTATACATATGAACATGTGTGTAGAGAAGCATCACATTCACACAAAAGCCAGCAAACTAAACCCCATCTTTCTGATTAAACGGATGGTTTGGATTTGTTTGAAGTTGGGTTTTAAGAGGTTCTTATCCATAGTCAGTATTATCTACAGTCAGAATCACAATCAGACCAGAGTATCAAGGAAACAATACAATGCTGTGGACGGGGAGAACTTATTTAAGCTACCTTAATATCAGATTTAGAACATTTTTGACTCCGTTTAGAAATGGGAATTGAAGCCTCTATCCTGGCTCGCTTGAAATCCACCAGACTCCATCGACAAAAATAGTCATTTTAACTTGCAGATCACAGAAGTTGCTTACCTACAGATGCATCTATTGGTTATTTTGTTTGTGTTATTGTGTGACATGGCTGTTTTAAAGGGTTCAATTCAGCAAAGTCACACAATGACACAAAGCAACTAACCGATGAAAGCTGCGGGCCAGCAACTTTCCTGCAAGGGAAAATTGTGCTTTTGTCTGGTGGCTTTAAGGAGAGCATAGAAAAAAGAAAGGGCTTTCTTTCTGCAAAGTAAAACAGGGAAAATATTCTAAATAAAATTGACACAAAAAAAACGTCTTGCTTCCACAGAAGTATGTTATTGTGTAATTATAAAAAAAAAAAAAATTGATCATTAATATTATTTTATGCATGCTTCTTGGTTAATATTAAGCTGTCTTTGGCTGTAACAAATGCAAAGTTCCTCTCTGTGGGAAGAATAAAGGCATTCTGATTATTACTGAAGGTGATACTCTGACTATAGATAAGCATTTCAAACAACCCTATTTCAGAAAATCCAATCTATACCTTTAAAGAGAGCGGCAGATATGAGGTAAACAGACATTTACCAACCATGTGTAAACACAGTTAACACATACGGTCCATTAGTGTGCATGTTAATGTTGAGCCCAGCAGTCTGCCGTAGCTACATGCATGTTTGAACTGGGTTTGGTGCCATGAAGGGTGTGGCTGCACTTTAGTGAGGGGGGAGTGGGGGTGGGGGGGGCACAGGCTCAGACGAGGCATCACTGCTGGCACAAACCTGCACTGTGCTTTATGGAAGCATCACCAGAGGGCTTCTCTGAGCTGGGATTCAGCTCTTTGCTAACAGTGTTTATTTATCTGCTGCAATGAATGTCATGCTTCCAGCTCTGACCCCTTTATTAAAGAGGGGAGGGGTGACAAGACCAATGGGACACGCTGTGCAGAAATAAAAGCCCTGCGGCAAAATGAAACTAACGATTGTTGAAACACAGCCAGAGTGGATGGTATAATGAGACAGTTAAACAGCAGCATAAAAAGCTGCGTATCAACTGCCCAGATCAGGGAAATGAACTTCCAGAATATTGGGAAAAGCTGTTGATTTTTTTAACAGCAGAAACATGAGACATCCTTATAGGGATTCCGGAAAGATGCATCTTTGTGAGTCTCACAAAAGCAGATAAATATTTCATGTGGTTGCCAGGGTGCCACAGAATGAGCGAGTGCCTTTTTGTTACCGCTCCACTTGTGCAGAAGCAAAATGGTGCCAGCAGAACGGCCGCTTATTAAAACAAGACACTGGGACTTCACTGTCAAGCAATGGACGACACAAAACATGAACATCTACTCAGATGCTGTCAAAAACAACGGGTTCGGCATGCCAAGACACTCAATCAGCTTTACAGTTTTGGATAATCAGAATGACCTCACGAGAGGAACAAGGCATGTCTACAAGGAGGCTATGGACTGGTACAGAGACGGTCAAGAATTAGGAATAGGCAGCCATTTCATCTATAAAAAAAGGTCAGGTCACAAACATCAATATATATATATATATATATGTATACTACTATATATATATATATATAATATATATATATATATATATATAAAGTATAAATAAATAAATAGGTCGGCAGGAATGGACTAATTTGTTTGGAGCTGGAGCGAGGGCTTCCTGAGCGGTGCATCCTCTAGAGGAGCTTCTTTCCTGGTACAGGAGGCAGAAGAATCTACTTCCTGTTAAACCTTTGCTCTCAAACCCTAATAGAAGCAGGAAGTGTTTCAATATGTTAACAGAAAAGTAAACCTACCTACTCAGCAAGTGTTTTGACTAATAAGCGTTTATTGAAATCATTTTTGATTTATTTCATTTTAACAGAATTCTTACATTTTTTATTTTATTCATCACTATATTATACAATTGTTTTTATTTTAAATTGTTATTTTATATTGATCACTTATGTATATATATTTCGTATTTATTGTATTCCATTTTATTTTATGTCGTCTAATACTAATATTATTTTTATTATTTTATTATTTACTGTATTGTGGTTCAAATTATTGTAAAATAATATTGTAAAGCTAATCAATATATTATATTAGTATTATCTTGCCATGGTCTCAAAATGTCATGTTGTTTTTGTCTACGATGTTCTGTACCAGTCCACTCTCTGTGATCGCCACCTTGTTTCACCAGTGAGGTGTACGACTGTGTGGACTCTTTAGTGGATTTGTACTCACCCCATTCCATTCGGCCCCAATACTCACTTCCTCTCCGGTCTCAGAGCCGCTCTCATACTTAACGCTGCTCAGGCTCTCCCTGCTCCTCCGCCTGTCGCCGTCTGTATCCTTCAGGATCTCCACCACACGAGTCTGGTGAATGGGGTCGATGCCCTGATGGGGACAAAACACAAGTGCCACACACAAACAAAAACACAAACATGCAGTAATTAGAACTAGCTCTGAGGTAGACATTAGCTGGTTGATTAGGATGAGAGTGTGGAGTTACATGGAGGTATTAAAAAAGGGATTTTATGTTGTCCGTCTCTTTGAATTAATCACTGTCACAGTGGCAGAGACTAAGGGAACATTTGAAATGTCTGAAAGATGGGAGTGGGGTTAGGGGTGAGAGGTGGAGGCTCTATGGGGGCCATCGCTGAGAGTCAAACCACTTACTGTGCTGCTCTGGATCCATAGCATTGTAAAGAAAGGGAAAGAAACATCGTGAGATTTGGGGGACATATTTAAGCATTGAAATAAGCATTGACATAAACAGGACACTGATAAGTGAACAGGTATGTTGTCTGTAAAGTCAATGTGCGCTGACCTGCTTGCGAGACCTCACAGCGCACTCCTCCAGGGTCTCAGCAGCCTCCAGCTTGCCCTGCCGGCGGTACAGGGCCCCCAGGTTCCTCAGGGTGGTGTTCACTGTCGGGCTGGACAATGGGACAGGCAGAACAATATTTACCCAAAGGTGAGGAAACTAAAAAGGTTCACAACAAAGCTTCCTGCCATATGACTACGGAGACTTTACCTAGAAGGAATTTGATTCATCCTAAAGACGAGTTAAAGGATTTTAAGAAGTTCTGGAAACTTTTAGTCTCAAGTTTCAGAGGGAAACAAATCTCTGTGTGGGGTTTCGGGTAGGAGGTGTTGTGTTATTCTGTGATATATAGGATCATTTTGTAGGTAAAGTTAAACAAATAACAGTATCATTAATTCATTATTTCAATTTTTTTAAACTACATAATTGTTAGTTTTTTGATAATCTTTTAATTATTATTTAGTGTTCTGACAAATATAATACCATGAATTGATGTCTTTAAAACGATGCTTGACTATATAATAATTTTTTTAGGAATATTAAATAAAAGGTAATTTAAGTAAAAAAAATTTTTTTGCAAAATGAAAAAAGGAAAGATACTGTAAAGTAAAAAAACATTTCTACAATATATTAACTTCACACATTTATAAAAGAACACATTTGAACAAAAGTCAAGAGACTAATCCCTGGCCTTTATGACATGTCTTTATTTCTGACTTAGCCTTACACCACGCTGATCCCGCTCTGCCTCACCTGTTGACTTTGCAGGCCTTGTACCAGCCTCCGTACTCTCCGTAGGGAGTGTTGTCTCTGTGCTTGCCCTGGAAGTAAATAAGGGAGGAGAGGAAGAGAAAAGGAGCGTGACTGGGAGTGGCGGTTAAAACTGGATCAGCTGCATTTCCCCAGTGTTTACATAAAACTACCATATGCTCGCTGGAGCTTATATTTTTTGTGTGTGTGTGTGTGTGTGTGTGTGTGTGTGTGTGTGTGTGTGTGTGTGTGTGTGTGTGTGTGTGTGTGTGTGTGTGTGTGTGTGTGTGTGTGTGTGTGTGTGTAGGAAACATACTAATAAAAGGGTTGTATTTCACTATTCTTTACCATGCTACAGCACTGTTGTGTTTCATGTTGCCAGCTACGCTTTGACACATTTATTTAATTGAATTTGCTTTAAATATTCTTGAGGATAAAATGACAACCCCCTCACCTTGCTCTCCTCTCTTTCCTCTGCATGCATCCAGATGGGCTTGTTCTCAGCTGCAGACAAACACACAGGAGAGATGGTCTACACTCGGTACATGGTTCAACAGGACTGGACCTCAGGATGTTTCACAGATTCCACCAGGAACTACTTACTATATACCTTTTGGATTGTTTCTACGCATTGTGCTACACAATATCAGAAGAGGCTCGTGACTCCTGGCATCTGCCACCATCAGTTTCAAGATGGAATTGAAACATTATAACACTGGCCCAATATTACTGACAGTGGTAAATATGACTATAATCCCAAAGATTATTTAAGAATGTTTGAATTTAATATTCTTTTTCAGATTCTTCATGAAATAAAATAAGAAATGAGACATTATATCTCAACACAGAAGACACTATAAATGCACTTTGTTATAGAAACAATGACCGTCTTTTTCAGATATGAGTAAACTGACATTTACACGCAACCATTTCTACTTACTAATGCACTGTTTTCATTAAATATGCCATTGAAAAACACAAACATAGCCCTTTTGACCCAAAGATAAAAGCATTTAACACCATTTGCTTTTGATCAAATATAAAGCATAATTTCCTTTCCTTCCCAGGGACAAACTGTTGCTGCTTAGCGTTCCTGTTGCTGCTTCACTTAACCTTCAACTCCAATCTGAGAGCTAATGTCAAGTCAAGTGACTCGTGAAAAATAAATCTCTCAGAAAGAGGAGAGATGCTTTTGCTTAAAAAGCGTCAGAGCGCTTCAATGTGCCGACTTTCTTTTATTCCCTTTTCAAAGCACTCAATCTAATCCCCGGAGAAAAGCCAACAAACAGCTTCGCTTAAACCAAAAGAGAAGAAAATTGCCAGAGTTCTTCAGACAAGTAAACTCTTTATTCTTCAAAAAGTTTGTTTTAGATTTTCTGTGTCCTGAATGGAGAAGGTTAGAACATCGTCCACTTTCTAACCATCTGTCCATCCCTCACTCCGCTCGCTGGGGTGAGACAAACAGTAGATGGAGGATAAGACAATAGTGGAGGACAAAAAAATATATAATCTATAAAAAAATATTTGACCCACCACCAATTTTCTACGGACACATTTGTTTTTCTATTGTGTTGATTGACTCCACCACTGCGATACAGAAGTAAACCTTTGAAATGGTTTCTGCCTTACACTACCATCTACAATATCTCTGATGAGACCTTACCATCAACAGATCCAAACTCTTTCTCATGAGCACGAGTCAGAATCTCTTTGTACAGAATCTCAGCCTCCTTGTATTTCCCCTGTTTGAGGAAGCAGGACGCCTGAAGAAGAGAAAAAGAGAGAAAGCATATTTGAGTTTTTAGGACAGAGTGAATACACATACAGAGATGCTGTGCCTCCTGACAACAGGAGCAGTGGATCTGCATATTCCCCCAAGGCACTGTGACTCAGAAAGGATGGGACTGGACCTCAGAGGCTCCCTTACTGTCTCCATACAGCCTCGCCTTCATCAGTGAGACCAGGTAGAAATATTGATACACTCGAGTATTGCCATATTATGTTCTGTGATACCGTATGGATTCACAATAACACTGTTGGTTTGTTAAAAGTTTGTTTGGGCAACCAGTGCTTTTATTTAAGTGAGTGTTGAAAGGGGGAGACGGATGGAATGACACGCCACAATTGGTCCCAAGACAAATTTGAACCTGGGTCCTTTCCAGACGGACCAAGCCCTAGTATAAGTATGTGGATAATTGACTGTACTTACCAAAATAGTCTTTCTAAAGAATCCTGCAATCACTTTGGATTCATTACATTTGTTGTTGCAAATAGATAAATAGTTAGCTAATTATGGCCCAAAGGCAGTGTGTGGGATCCTACTATTCGGATGCATAAAATGTAAAAAGAAATGTGTTATTAGTATGGTGTGATATACTACTGACAGTTTCCCTAAACTACAATTATTTTGTCTTTTAAATTGCAATATACCCACTTGCTTTCAGGAGCACAATATATATATTGTATCATAACCATTAAATCATGATAAGTGCCACATTACTGCCAATACACAGCCATATTAATGAGGCTGCTATTGTACTGAAGTGTGACATTACCTAATACGAACCTTCCTTTCATAACTGTTGTTTTGAAAAAGCATGTGTTGGATAAAATAGTCTCCCTTTTAAAATTCTGGTGCAGTGAATATGTGAAAAATATCATTAAAAAGATATTTCCAGTGGAAGCTCGGTAGGCAGAGAGCGGTAACAGTTTACATTCGCCCCCACAGAGACACTCTGGCTGACAGAACAGATGAGTCATTTGCTCACAATATAACTAAGCTCTGCCTGTGTTTATCTTGTCACCTTCACAGCTCAACAGGGACTGCACTTATTTTCAAAGTATAGCAAAGCACAATAAAAGCAGATGTAGTGGTTTTAACGTGTCTCTCACCAGGTTGTTCTTGGTCTTGGCCACGTTGGCATCGTCTGGCCCCAGCCTGCTCTCATAGATCTCCAGGGCCCGGCAGTAGTAGTACTCTACCTCCTCGTACTTGCCCTGGTTCTGGCAGAGCAGAGCCAGGTTGTTCAGCTGCTTGGCCACATCTGGGTGGTCCTTCCCCAGGACCTGAGGGAAATCAGGGACAAATAAGATCAGTTTGTGCTGCTGCCTCAAGGCCGTTAGCTTTCTCTCTGAATGTCTCCTTTATTTACAGCTTGCAGGAGATCTATTAAAAGGCTGGGAGATCAATAGAGAGAATAAAGAATGAAGCTTTTTAGGGAAACTCATTGCACTCTGCTAAGCGCTGTCCCTTTGCCTAATTCCTGCTCTCCATTTTCATCTATGCTTTCAATTAAACTCATCCATCACGGGAATGTCCCCCAGCGGAAACTTCACAGATAATTTAAGAAACTAATTTCCCTATTTATGCTGGTGTTAGAGAAGCTCGATCTTACATTGTGGAAATATTAACACTTTGAATGACTTTAATACAATGGGCTAATTGTTCACTGGGAGCGGGTGCTGCGGGTGGATCTCCTGGTGATCCAGGGATGTGGCCTACCTTCTCTCTGATCTCCAGAGCCCTCTTGCACAGCGGCTCGGCCTCCTTGTACTTCCCCCTCTTTCCGTACAGCACAGCCAAGTTGTTCAGCGTCGCAGCAACCTGGATTTACAGGAAGAGAACACATATATAAATGAGGCTGATTTCTTTATCTGTTTTGTTTTTGCACTGGGATGTTAGCCACCTGGATTACACAGGATGGTAGTAATAATCCTTTGGGTTTCATTATTCTGTATCCAGGATCAGACTGAGTGACAGCAGTAATAACAATATGAAGCAAACAATGTGCTGCAATAGCTTCCTTTATGCCTCACAACGCAATGTGTTGCCATAGTGTAAATCATTCATACAGATCTGTTCCCAGAGGCTATGAAAAAAAGCACAATTTAATGTTTCACTGCAAGCTCATTGTAGTTTGGTTTATGCTGGATGTAAGAGCAGCCATTCAGCAGCTGTGGTTGATTCACAGGCACAGGTTAAAAATCCATACTGTGATGGTGGAAAAAGCTGACGGCACAGAACAAAAGGTACATTAGACCAGGGGTTCCCAAACTTTTCAGCCCGCGACCCCCAAAATAACAGTGCTAGAGACTGGCGACCCCCTGTCGACAGGGGGGGGGGGGCTAGTGAATTAATTTCAGTTTTCCACACTCTCGCGGGAGTGTCATTATTGTCTCACTACTACTATTATTATTATCACTACTGTCATTAATGAAAAAAATTAATCAATTTTCTTTTATAATTGTTTTTTTTTTTAATTCTCCATTTTTATTTTGTAGTCATCTCGCGACCCCCACTCGGGGAACCCCTGCAGTAGACTGTGAGGTAATTGCCTCTCAGTCTACAGAGTCACAATAATAAACCACCACCAGATAACTAATCTGATCTATGAATATGTCCCCATGGAGATATGGTTGCTATGAAGATGGTGGAGTCTTACAGCGGGGTGATCTTTGCCCAGGGTTTTCTCACGGATGGACAGGGCATCGTTGAGCAGATGGGCGGCCTCTTTGTATTTGTTCTGATCCCTGAATGAGAAAGAAACGGTAAAACATGATGAGTGTTTCTTGTTGTTTTTGCAGTAAAATAGGAAGAATAACTAGCAAAAGCTCATATTTGAAGGCATTTCTGACCTGTAGACCAGGGCCAGGATGTTGAGCATGGTGGCCACGTCGGGGTGGTCGTGTCCAGAGGTCTTCTCCAGGTCCTCCAGAGCCTGCTTGCAGAGAGGGACAGCCACCTCGTAGCGGCCCTGGGAGGCGTACTGGATCACCAGGTTGTGCAGGGTCCTCAGGCGGGCGGGGATCTCGTAGCCCCCCTGCTGAGCCGCTGCCACTGCCGCACTGTTGTGTTGGTGCTGACCTGTGGGGGGGGGGGTTATGGCGTAATAATCCAATAAGTGTTTATTGGCATGACAACATTATCTAACCCAGTGCACTGTATGGATAGTCATGTTCATTTACTGAGAGAGGGGTCGGACACCAGATAATCAGGCCTAAATGAGGTCAGCATTACAGCTAAATATGCCAGATTTCCTCATTCAGAGCAGGTGAGTTTATGCGAAAAATGGAATTGAACATGAATAAAAAATTAGACATTGTCCCGTCACCAAGTGTGATTACTTTGAGTCCACAGAATCCTTATTGCCTAAACATTTTCTTCACATTATATAAATCTTTTTTGATGAACATGTTTTTTAGCTCTTTACTCTGAATGATGATGTTAACATTATGGCAGCAAACTGTCTTAGAAGAATTGTCATAATATGATGCTGAAGGGATGGATCCTGTTCTCTTACTTCCTTGCCCGTGCTCCTCCTCGTCGTTGGGGAAGAGGTCGTCCAGGGAGTCCTTTGGTGTTTCTCGGTCCTTCTCCTCCTGCTGAGAGGAGAAAACAAACCAGTCAGTCATGTTAACTGACAGCAACCATCTAGCGGCAGTCTTTAAATATTTAAGACGATATGGCTATCAAGATAACTATATCTCATATTCAGAAAAGTATGCCATTGGGGGTCATTTAGACCAATACATTCAACATTAACATTTCAATGATACATTGTATCATGAGCTTCATGTTGGATACAGTTGTCACTTTTACACACAATTCACCTTTTGACATCTGTGTATGGTGCTTTATTTTAAACTCTAGTACTATGTCTACCTTGACATATATATCTGCTCTGTCTATCAATTTTCCTGTGTTTCCCGTCATTTGAGAAAAAGACCAGAAACCCTAAGTGAGAAATATGATATATTTTAGTTTCATGATGATACCCCTTGGTTTATCATTAGTTTGACATTAGGTAACTGCCTCTGTAGATTGATATGTTACTGTGTGGAGATCTTTTCTTATTCTGATACAGCTATTCAAACCTCACATAAACAATGGTGTGTGTTCTATCAAATGACTAAATGAGATTTGAGTTGGGCTTTAACACAGAAGCCTGTTATATGTTGAATATGAGAAAAGTTGATTCCAGGAGGAATTCTGCTTATTGGCAGGATGGCTTCCTGCAATAAGCAGCTAGGGGACACAGCCTCCTTCTGTGACTACGAATACGGTCAGAATATGCAGCATTTCTCTGAACTGCTGGATCAATAAGGACCAGACCAGAAAGTCTCATTCCTGGAAGCTGTGATTTTCTTCCTGTATCAGATATAATCGACTGTTTGCTGCCCCTTGGAGTCATTTAGGCAAATTCATACTAAATATTCCAAGTAGGATCAGGCACTGGATGTGTAAATAGTTTTCTGACTGTTTCTGTCCCATTCTGCTTATAATAAACAACAGCTGCATAGGCTGAGAAATAAAACAACATTCTATCCCGTCAATTGAACTCGGTGCTTTTCATGCTAAAGAGGAATAATGTATTTTAAAGGATCCTGCACATAAAACATGGTGGAAATGAAATAAATCAAACTATTTCAACCCAAGTAACCTAATAATACAGCTTTCATGCATCGTTAACAACATGTCTTACAGTGGGCGAGACGTCCTCGTCGTACTTCTTGAGCTGGTTCATGAACTCCAGGTGCTTCTTCTCCTCCTCCAGCTGGGCCACGCTCTGCTCGCTCTTCTGCAGCTTCTGCTGGGTGTTGGCCAGCTCGTCGCGCAGCCACTGGTTCTCCTGGCAGAGCCTCCTCACCTGCGCACGCAGCTTCTGCTTCTCCGACTCCACCGCGTTCAGGTGGTTGGACAGGGCCATCATCACCTGCGATAGAGACAGCATTCAGGAACTGTGAGCATTTAACGGAGACAAAATGTCGCAGCGGCAACGCAGGAGAGGACAAACTGAGGCTGAATGAATCATGATCACCACACAAACTCGGTTTAGAATGAGGAAGCAGAAACTCACAACCAAAAGACACATGACTCGGTGGATTAACACCAATTTACTACATTCTGTTCAATCCAGGCTGAAGACTTTTTCAGTTTTTTTGCTGCCATTTATTAAATCAAATAATTATTCAAATCTTACACAGCACTGTTACTTTTATTACAAGGTGTAATGTGTTTTATTCTGCTTTAGCTCGTTGTTATTTCTGTTCTCTTGGCTCTTGAATGACTGGAAAGCACTTTGAATTGCCTAGTTGTTGAACTGTGCTATATATAAAAAATGCCTTTACTTTCTTACTCTGAACCATTCTCTCTTTGTCTGCTGTATTGTAACCCACCTAATTCTCTCTTAAGCTCATATTATTCTGTCGACCAAACAATATCTCACCTGCGCTTCTCCCAGGCCCAGCTCGATCATCTCCACGGACTTGCGGAGCAGGTTGGACTTCTCGTGCACCAGGTTGGCCTCTTCGTCCTTCTTTAGGCACTTGATGGTCTCCAGGAGGCTGTGGAGGATGGAGTTGTGCTCGTTCTTCAGGGCCTCCAGACCCTGGATCACTAGCTTGGTGTTGGAGATGATCTCTTCCTGAGTAAGCTTCTCCAGCTTCTCTTCTCTTGGAAACACCATGATGGACATATTCTATGTAAGATTAGGGAAACCTGAGAAAAAAGGAGTGGAGAACGACCGTTACAACAGGCTCGCTCGCTGGACACTGTGGGAACATTTGAACGGTTAAAAGGACATGTTTGAAAGGGTCTTCTGAAGATGCAGCTGTGCTTGTTTAACACTTTCATTCACAACAAAGGACACGAGAGCTTGGCTAACATGTCTTATTCGTTTTCCTCTATTTCATTCAAAGTATCTTAAATTCCAAATGATCTCCACCACTATAAACCATCTGAAGCATTCTCTGCCGGAGTGAACCGACGGAATCCACTCTCCACTCTCTGTTTAAAGATATCAACGTCTGAGTGTGTGAAGCCTCGCCCTGATGCAGCAAGTCATTTCTTTGCTCCGCTAGCATGATCCACTAGCAACGAGACAGCCATAAAAAGCTAATGAACTCACGGTTTATCACTAGAGGGAGAGGAGAGATTCAAATTTCATGAGTGGGTAGGTCGGTCATCTTTTTTTTAAATTAAAAAACCCCAGAATTAATGCAATACGATAAGAAGAAGGGTTGTTATAAAACACATAAGTTATACTCTGACCAAAGAAAAAATGGTTTAATGAATGTACACATACAGGTGTGTAATATCTGCTGTACGTGTTAGAGATTGCCGAACACTCATTGAGTCTGTGGAATATCTTTTGTAGATTGGGACTTTTATACAGGACCACAATAGCTAATGCCTAATGATATTATTACACAAATTGCCAAATATTGCACGAATATTTTTGCCATTTCGATTGCCATTTTGGAATAACTGTGCAGCCCTAGTTGTGAGCATGGCCCCAGCCTGCAGAGTGACAGTGGGCGCACAGATGCTGCAGTGCTCCTGGTGCCAGCCCTTTATCCAAACAGAGGCCTAGCCGGCTGCATGACTGGCTGAAGAGTCAAGGAGAGGATGACATGACAAAAGCCTATCTCAGCAGCTGGTCAAGTCGCAGAACACTCCAGTGTCAATAACACAGTTTGCTCTGTAGAAATGCCAGACCTTTGGGTGGGTGCATGGAACATGTGCCATTTTCCACAAACAGACTGGAGACAGCCTATGACTCACAGAGCCACGTCCCTGGTGGATACATCAGGGTAATGTCGCTGCCCTTCCCACTGGGCTCCAGGCAATGTAAAGCTAGTGCGTTCATTATTTCTGCAGCAGGGGGAATAAGAGGTTATGGAAGAGGGGCTTGCCGTGCTAAACACCAGCTGAGAGCCATCTGCTAAGAGAACAAATACACTACACCATTAGAGAGCCGCTCCCTGCTCTGCTACTTGCATTTCCGCAAATGTCTATTAAAAGCAGTGCATAAAAGAACAACATAAGCCTAACCTGAGCATAACGACTACAACAAATAGCTATATTCTTAGGAATGTTACACAAAATGTAATAGCAGCCAAGTTTAATCCTGCGGTTGAAAGCTGGAATTAACATAGCTGCAAAAGATGTGAAATGATTTTCTTAATATTCATTGGGTTAAGAACGAATATTATCCTAACATAATTAGAAATGGCTGTTGGAATTTTAATTATTTTCATTATATTCAATTCATCAGATTATTATGAATACAATGAATTGATTAACGTTTGCCTAAAAAGCTTTGCAAGATCAACCGTCCAATTAATAATAGCAGCGTTAATGGCCGGCCACTTTAAGTTGTTAGCTTTCTGACTTGTTACAAAAGAAAAAGGGTTTTCTGGTGCATTTTGAGAGGACTCTTGGCACATTTACAGCTGACACAAGCATAGGCCGAAACAAACACAACTGCATGTGTTGCTAGTATCCAGTCATTAAAGAGGAAGCTGTGCATGTTGCACCATGTATTAACAGCAGGGCAGTCAGGGGAGTGTCATTTATGATGCTAATATGTGTAATGATGGACACTGCACGAGCACGCTGGGGAAGCTACTAAAGTTAACTAATGGCCAACTGGATGTCAGATAGCCGGTAGATATTATCGGGATGACACTGGAGCCTGTGTACGACCAGCTGGAGGATCCGGAGAGGAAGAAGGGGGGCAGCGATCGATACTAAAAGGTATCAGGTACCCTACCAGTACAGAGTGAATGGGAGGATACAGCTAAGATGTGAAAGGTTATTGTTTTTACAACTACGACTAAAAGCTTTATTTTTCTTTGGTTCATGACCCCCTTACTTAAATCCAATGAAGAACTCAAAAAATGCATAATGTTCGAAGAAATAGCCAATGTTTTCGTACACAAAGAAACATTCCTGAAGCCTCAGGGTAGTGATGGAAAAAGTGAAGGGTGGAGTAAGCTTGATGCAAATCTGCTTGCATCTCGTTTAAGATGTTAAAAGCTTGAGCATTGCTGATGGATTCATACTAGGGATTAGAGATGTCCCGATCCGATCACGTGATCGGGGATCGGAACCGATCACGTGATTTTCAAAAGATCGGAATCGGGAGAAAAAAATCGGGGATCGGGATTTTTTTTTTTTTAATTTTTTTTTTATAAATACTTTTTTAAAGTTTTGTATTCAATGTTACAAAACAAAAATGACCATGTTCAAGTCTTAAAGTTATCCTGAGGCCTTAGTTTTGGTTTCAAATTACAGAACATCATGTATGTGTTGCTTCTTTGGGGCTTGTTTTCATAGACCTGGTTGCTTATTTCTCTCAGATCTGGCAACAGAGTGGGCAGGGTGCAGTGTCTAATTGTAGCAGTAAGCTAAAGAGTACTGAAAGCTTTATTTTGTTTTGATCCAATGCTGCACAACTGAACTGATCCAATGCTGCTGTGAAAGAAAGAAGCTATATCCATGTTGGATAGAATATCCAATTTAAATAAAAAAATAACCTTAAGGGACAACTTGAATGCTTTTTTTCTTCTCTTAATGCATTGCATAAAGATCGGATCGGGAAAAATCGGTATCGGCAAATTGTCAAAATCAAATGATCGGAATCGGATCGGGAGCAAAAAAAGGTGATCGGGACATCCCTACTAGGGATGCTAAGATTCACCGATTCGCATCGGCATAAACGTTCAAGATGCGAGGGCACCTGTTGAAAGAGTGCACATCGGCTACAGTTTGGGTTGAACTCGCGATGCATCGATTGTAGCGTCTTTGCATCGGTAAAAAAACGATTCATTCATATAAAATCCCCTCATCCTGTCAGCACCCAGCAGAGACGATCTTTGCTTCGCACTACGGAGGCCGAGAGTCTCAGTTATCAACACACACGGAAGTCGAGGAGAAAGACAAACACAGCTCACCAAAAAATACCTACAAATCAAACGTTTGGCA